ATTAATTAATTATAAATAATGAAATATTGTCAACACTTTATTGTAATTATAATTACAAATTAACGTAAATGAGCAAATATTTTGATAACATATAAAATAAGTTCAAAAAAAGGATTTGTCTTTGGAAATTATCTTATCGTCTGCTTTTTTTATTTTTTATATTTTTAAATATTCAAGTTTTTATAATATTACAAAATGAAAAAGCATTGAAAAAAGCAAACCTGTTTGCGTTTTTTAAAATGGTTGCTAAAGCCAAATGGTAATTTTCCTAATTTGCAAGATGCCATTTGAAATGTATTATTTACATTTGCAACGTAGCGTTTAAAACGCTCAATTTTCGATATTGCTAATTTAACAATGGTTTATTTATAAATTCCAGGTGGATTGGTGATGGTAAACCAAGACCAGTCTACTTGGGAAATTCTTTTCAAAAAAATAAAATCAAGTTATTTTATCTACCAAAATTGGTTTTTTCCTAGAATAATGCAGTGGACCACTTTGTTGGGGCTCTGGAACGATCTGAACTGGTTCATGTTGGCCTTCACTACAAGTAAACAGATCTTTAATGTAACAAAATGAATGCATGTTCGATTAATAACCTTAATGTTATTTCCTCCATAATATTTTTAAAATTTGATTTAAATAAAAAAATCGTAATTTAATCAAATAAATTGATTTTATTATTTTTATAAATGATTTTTGCCAACCTTATTTTATTTTATAATTACATTAAACTGTAGGGCCCAAATATTATTATTTAAATTGAGAATAATAAATAGTTTTGTGAAGCATATAGTAAAAAATGTTAGTTGTGTTATTAGATTTTGGTGTAATGGGATGTAGGGTTTGACAAGAAAGAATTTCGGGATAAATGGATAGAAAAACGTTGATTCTACCTGAAGAATCTTTTTTTTAATATAAAAGCCTCCTGGCCCTGTGAGTAGGTCTGGATTATCTGAGTGTGAGTGGGTCTGGGTTATCTGAGTGGCAATGTGATTGTGGTGAAACGGGTATTTTGATAAAGATTATAGTGTCTACATTATTGAAAGCTATAGTATCACTAGAACAGGCTAAACTGATTGCTGAGTTAATATTACATATATTGATTTTGGATTCAATTGATTAAGCTTTCGACATATATTAATTTTGGATTCAATTAATTAAACTTTCGTATTGGTATGTTATGGGAAGAAGCAGTGGGTCTTTCTGTTAAGTAACTTTTTGATTGAGTTAATTGAAACTTAAAAGAGGGTTTATATTTAAATAAGTAAAACTTAAAGTTAAAAAAATTTAAGTTATCGAGGTGACTAATATTGTTGTTTATAGAGAATAAATTAGATAATTTTTGCGAAAAAAATAGGTCTCTTAGAAATACGTGCAATAGTAGGTGGGAGTAGGAATGCAAATTTCCAAAAACACTATAATTGAGGAAAATTTCCTGAAAATTTTTACGAAATTTCCTTTAAAAAATATTTTACAGATCATATTGAATTTTTAAAATGTTTTATTAAAAAATAGCTAGACTATTTTTATTTAAACAAGTAATGATATTATTTCAATTATTTAGTTCTTATCTTCGCTTGAAGATAAAACGATACCAGATATATGGAATTGAGCAATTTGTTATTTGACTTGTAACATCTAAATTTAGGTATCCAGAAAAATGGTTTATAACATCTGAAGAACGTCAGATAGATTGGATTTACCCACTTCCTCTACCTCTATTTGGGTAGAAATAGCTTTTATAAAATTGCATAATTGTGTAAGATGATTTAAAATACCTTCATTATCAAGAAGATAGGTTTCTTATCTTTCACATTAAGAATATGAAGTATTGCCATTTCCTGCAATATCTTTATAATCAAAATTATCCCTGTCCAACGAGTTGGGCAGGCAAAACAATCCTATATTTATTCTCAAATAGTTGTTTTTCCATATGAATAAAAGAATGTTGGATTTTACATATTTTATAATAATTTGGGCTTTTGTTAATAAAATTTAATTGGAAAGGGTTTATTTGTTAGAACCCTTAAAAGAAAAAGTCCATTAGATGCAGACCCAATACATTCGATAGTTGGATATTTATTTGTCACAAGTGTCCAGGTTTTCTTCATTACTTGCATTATCCGTAATTATAGTGTTCATTTTTGTGTTTCCTATTTCTTCAATTAATTTAATAAATTCACTGGATATATATTCTCCCTGATGCATATTGGACCCTGTTTCAATTAATTTATAGAAAATGGGACTAGGGATTGCTATAATAAAACTTTTGTCCACCCATCACTAATGTGGTTCAAATGTTTATTTTTATCTAATCTTTCGGTTACTCTATTCCCAATCCTTTAATATTTTCATTGTTTAACAAATTTTTAATGAGTAAATATCTTGTAGGCATTTTAGGCTGGTTTTAAAGATTGAAATATTTTTCCCAATATATATTGAGTTATAGAAAATGGACATTAAAATTAAAATGGCTGTGCGAATTTAATATCTAGTTTATTTAATGCTCTTCAGATGATACACTATTAATATATTTCATTAAATTGTTTTTTGGGAAATATATATTATTAGTTGAATTAAAATTAGAAGAGGAAGTTGGTATAACCTACTTATATCTTTTTAATAATCCTACTCCTTATCCTATTTTAAATATATTACAGGCAATTATAAAATTCCCTTTTGATGAATATTAATAGAGTTGAGCCATATTATATCATCGAGAATTAACTACATATAAAAACAAAACACAATTATGATTTATGAACCACTATGAAAAAATATTTTTGTAAAATATAATAAAAATCCTGATAATTTAACAAAAAAGCATATTATGGGAATTAAGGAAGCTATAGGAGAAATTTCCCAAATTTCCTGTGTTATATCCCTATGTGAAAGGAATTCCTTGATTCATTCCTGCTGTGAAGAAATAGAGCTTGATTAAATGTCACTGGAAATAGATTGAAGGAATTGGATAACTCTATCAATACAGGGAGAGAGAGACAAACGGTTGACCAATGTTTAATAAATTGAAATAATACCTAACTCTAAACAAGGAAGAGTTTCGAATCGATTTTGGTCTCCGATACTATGAAATTCTAACATCAAGGGCATGAACTCTTTGTAAAGCACATATCGACAGCCTAGGCCACCACCAGTTATATTGTCGCTTTTTAAAAAGCAGATTACGATCATCAATATGTTGAGAGCCACAAATATTCCTTCCTCATTGGAACTCTCTGGCTTCAGCCTTAGTTGACAACCAAACCAGACGGCCTTAATCCTTTGTCAAGCCAAGTCATACCTCTTGCTTGTGATTACATTTACCTAAATCGTTTTCTCGTATAATTTTCTATCAATTCAAAATTAGTGCAGTAAATTCAAGACTAAATAAATATAGATGATCAAACGGCTATTCGGGATGAAATAAACGCAGTGGCTCTGGGCGATATGTAGTCAGGTTCTGTGGGACACAATCAGGTCCCGGACGAGACGTAATCCAGTCTAAAATTAGTATTCTTGAAACGCGTTATGTCTAGTGTAACGTCTTCGTCTTTCCAAAAAAACATGGAATAATTTTTATTAGTAGCTTAATCTATCACTACCTAACATAACAACTTCTTAAAATAATTTATTCGTATATATTTTTATAGTATCTTCGCTAGGTTATTGATGGTAAGAAAAATTATTGAGAATGAACTTATAGAAATCGAATAAGAAATAGTGAGCGACTATATTCAAAAATGAGTCTTTTATAAGTTAAGCTCTAAAATAAACTTAGATGCAACTAAGGTCATTGTGTAACTAATTTTAAGAAATAACATTGTGATTGTGATATATTAATATGATTTTATAATAAAAGTAATTTTATATATTTTCTAAAAATTAGTATTAGTACAAATATAAAAATAAACATATGCTTTTAAAAAATTAAATTTTCTATTAAAAAAAATTTTTAGAATGAAAATTTAGGGTCGGATGTGGACGTTTCCCGTTTAAGGATAGCGTCTTTGTAAACGCATCCCGAGTTGGGACGTGTCCCGTCAAAAGCTTCATTAGAACGCGGCTGTCCTAAAAATTAAAGACGGAAGTTTAAATTATCACTACAAATAAATACAGCCTCTTAAATAATATATTGTTCGTTCGTTCAGAAAACTTGAAACACCTCTGGTTCACTTGGACCTCGACCTAAATTTATTCAAAACAACAAGATAAAAATTGCGCTTAATTACATCCAAATTAAGGTTATTACTTCTGGCAGGGTATATGTATCGAAATGCTGATCCAACTCTATTTTCTATAAATATAGATCATTAAATCCTACCGAATCACTTAAATAATTTCAGATTTTTATTAGTTTTTTATATTGTTTATTTTTTATATATTTTATTTAGCACATGTTGATACGTATATTATATTAATAAAAAAATTTTAACTTGTTAATTTTAATGTCACCTGCAAATATAGATTAAAGAAATCGCTTCAAATATTAAATTAAATTATATATTTATTAATCTATACTACCATATTTTATTTATATATATACAATTATTTATATTGAATTGGCTATCATCAATAATTTTTACCTGAAGAATTTGCAGTTTACCTATCATATAATCTTATCTGCTCTAACTTAATCCAAGATATAGATTTCAGATTTTTTTGTCACATGTCGGTGACAGATCCCTAACCCTCTGAGCATCAACTTAAGATACTCAATGACCTCTAATACTAACCAATTTTAATATTTTTTATAAATAAATTTGATTTTTTTTTACTGAAAAATCATTTTTATCTGATCAAAAAAAATACTGATTAATTTTGTATTTAATACTGATATTCTATTATTTATATTGATTAAATGTTAATTTTTACTGATAAGAATGGGGAAAATATACTGATCAAAAAATACTGAAAATTTCATAAAAATAGTGGAGGTTATATATTGGCCTAAAAATTATAAAATTTTTCTCTTTTGAGAACATAAGAATTTTTTAAACCTCTTTAGACATAGTTTTTTTTATAACATCTTTTGGATGATAAGGTGAAGTATTTTGGTTGTTTAAGCTTTCTTTTCCAATTAATCCGCCAAAAGTAGTATTTGTGACTTTAGCAGATTCTACCAAATTAGCGCGCTTTTTTATGATATTTCCTTGTTCTTTAATCTTGGTTAAGGCTTCTTCATTAATTTGGATTTTATTAAAAGGACAAATTGAGGATAATTGACTGAACCATGATATAAAGTTTTCGCATTTTCTCATATTTGTGACTGCATTAGAAAACTCGGGATTCACTTGAAAAATAAATTGTTAATATATCACCTTCAATTAAAATATCTATAAGATGAATATTTGATAATTATAAAGTATTGGGATTCCTAAGTTTTACAAAAAAGCTTTTATAAATAAATTTTATATTTAATTTATTATGAATAAAATTAGAAATTACAAGTTAACTTAGATGAAAACATTATCGATAATCACTTATGATAAAAAAAATTGAAGCCATTCTAAATGTCTTTATGTTTCTTTCTATCTCTCATTCTTTTTCTCATCCTTTTGATGGCACTTGTCTATTTTGAAAACTTACTTGCATTCACTTTGCTGCCCTCGATTGCTTAGATCTGAAAATCATAATTATGAATGCATTTGGTATTGATAGAGCGTGTATCAGATGAATAGCAGTAATATGTAACAGAGGCCTGCCTGCCCAGCCCGGAACTCGGCTTGGAGCGGATTAAAAAATAATGAATTGAAATTTCCGGTCTGGGTTATAAATAATATGGGCCACGCCGATATTTTATTAATAAATAAAAATTATAGTTTTTTTAGTCAAATAGTGTCCTTTTTCAAACAGATAGTGGTTTTTGTAATCTTGCAGAGTCCTTTTTCAACACTAATTAGATCTGGATTACTATGTATTTTTAAAAGAACATTAGTGACTAAAAAATATATATCAATTAATACAAGGGTGGTGCAGGGGTGGAGAGGGTATTGAGCCCCCATTCGAAATTCGCGCACTCTCGTAAATATTTTATGTTAATAAAAATTTCCCCCCTAAACACCGCACATTCCCATTTAAACAGTAATTTGAAAGGAATAAAATAGTTATTAATTTTCTAAAATAATGGTTATAATCAAAAATTTTCAGAAAAAACATTTTTACAGGGTTTACCATTAAAAAAGGAAAAGCCACAATCAAAAAAGGAAAATGGTCAATCATAAAAGGTTCAATCAAAAAAGGTAAAGACCCAAACAAAAAAGGAAAAATGTCAATCAAAAAAGAAAAATTCCCCCAAAAAAGGAAAAAAGACCGAACAAAAAAAGAAAATTCCCAAAAAGAAAGGAAAAGTGTCAATCAAGGAAAATCGTAATTTTTAAAAAAAAATTTTTCTTGTCAATTTTTCTTAAATTTTTGTCATTCCTTCTTATTTTATTTCTAACTTTTTGTGATTTCTTTACTTTATTTATATCTTTTCTCAATTTATTTTTCTTATTATATCTTTTCTCAATTTATTTTTCTTCTCATTTTTGATAATTTTTTTGCCTTTTTAAAAATAATTTATAAATTTTTTGTTATTTTTCTTCACCTCTGCTTCATTTTTTTTAACAATTCTTCATTTTTTTCATCAAGCATACATTATTCTTTTTATGATTTTTTCTCCTTATATTGTAATCTATTACATACATTTCTAACCTTCTCAATCTCTTTAAATCCTTTTTAATCTCTATTTTTTTGACCTTTTATCAATTTATTTTCTTCTAATTTTTGATAATTTTATAAATATGACTTTAAGAATGATTATTGTATTTACATATTTGTGATTGCTGAATTAAATTATTCGTTTGGTTATAATATACCTTTTTAAAATTAAATAAGTTTGAACTGTAATACCTAGTGTTGTTAAACGGCTCGTTTTGAGCCGGTTTTTAAAAACGGCCATCTCAATATTTTATACAGATATATATTATGCAAGCCTGAAGATTTTGCTCATAGATGGCACATAGGTTTGAACACCTATTAGCTAAATCTCTAAGCTTAGACAATATTTGTCTAGCTAAGATAATGAGTTAGCCGTTCTTAAAAATCTGCTCAAATCAAGCTGTTTAACAACACTAGTAATACCAAACGATATGTTAATTAATAAAATATAATAATCATTTTTAAATTCTTATTTTTAAGATTTTAATATTTATTCAAGACGCATTTATACTTTTGAGCAAGTAAGTACCTTTTTTTAGTTATATATTTAAGACTATATTCTTTAATTTATGAATAATTAAACGTAAAAATGAGGTAAATGTTATAAAAATTTAGTCTTTTTTGTCATTCATTCTATTTAATGAGTAAATATTTTAAAAAGATATTTTTTTTTGTTTTAAAAAATAAAATTATGAAATGGTAAAAAGGGGAAAAAACATTAACAGTGAAACAAAGGTTCTAATAATTGATGCTATCTAAAATTTAACATCATGTTTTAAAATAAGCTAAAGACAGTGACAAATATTAAATATTCTCATCTCAAAAATGGAATAAAATAAGATAGTTTGTCCAAAGGAGGTTCATGTGCACTCAAGAAATTTAATCAAGAACAGGAAGAATATATATTAAATTGTATAAATTTGAATTGCACTTTATCCTTAAAACTAAAAGGGTTATGTGAAATGATTAAAGAAAGTGGAAATATTAAAAAATACGGTTAGGTTACTCTCCGGATTTAGGTATAGCTTTAAAAGAGTATTACTACGTTTAGTTGAGAAAATACCGAATCAAATATCGAGATTCGCAAAGAATATGCGAATTGGCTTGTAGATGTAGCCTATATGAAAGAAAAATTTATATTTATCGATGAGAGCGTTTCAATATCAACGAGGCGGTAAATAAAAAGGCTAATAAAAATGTTCAAGGGATAAAGACAATAAATTATACTATCATCGCGATTCTCACAATTGCAGAAATATTTAGATTCGAAGTTCTTAATGGCCCTTGCAATGCTATATATTTCAGAAACTTTGTAAATCAAATATTAAATCGTTTTGTAAAAGGTAACATGATTAATATGATTTTTGTGATGGATAATATTCCATTTCATTATTATCATACAATTAGGGAATCGATCGAAAGAGGGCATTCATTGAAATATTTACCACCTTACAGTCCTTATCTTAATCCTATTGAAAATGTGTTTTTTCAGTGGAAGGATTTTGTCAGAAGTAACGAGGAAGAATTAATTCGTTTCATAGAACAGAGGAATATCTGAGGAGAATGCCAAAAATTATTTTAGAAATATGAAGACCTATATTCAAAAGTGAGAAATTATAAATGATAATATAAATTTTTGTTTCATACTATATTACATATATATCGTAATTGTAATTAAATAATTTGATATGTAAAAAATTATAATAAAAAAAGTTGTGCCAAAAATTTAGTGAAAATTAAATATTAAGGAGAAAAAATCATAAAATGAATATTGTATGCATGATGAAAAAATGTGAAGAATTGTTTTAAAAAAAATGGAGCAGAGAGGTGAAGAAAAATAACGGAAAATTTATAAATTATTTTTAAAAAGACAAAAGAATTATCAAAAATGAGAAGAAAAATAAATTGAGAAAAGATATAGTAAGAAAAATAAATTGGGAAAAGATACAAATAAAGTAAAGAAATCGCAAAAAGTTAGAAATAAAATAAGAAGGAATGATAAAAATAAAAAAAAAAATTTAAAAAATTACGATTTACCTTTTTTGATTGACATTTTTCCTTTTTAGATTGGACTTTTTCCTTTTTTTATTGAACCTTTTCCTTTTTTGTTTAACACTTTTCATTTTTGATCGGACGTTTTCCTTTCTTTTTGGGAATTTTCCTTTTTTGATTGACACTTTTCCTTTTTTGATTGAACTTTTTCTTTTATGATTGACCTTTTTCCTTTTATGATCGAACCTTTTCCTTTTTTGATTGGGAATGTATATGTGGCAAACCAAAATGATTTTTTAAAATGTAACATAGCCAAAGGCCTACAATAAGTGGCCCTAAAAATTTCAAATATTTATGGAGAAAATCTACCTAATAAAAATTTGTTACCCCCCCCCCCTTAGCAAAATCCTGACTATGCCTATGACTAATCAGCTGGGAAATTATATGATAGGGCATTTAATATTAGTTTGCTGCTCATATTTTTTTCCATTTAAAACAATTACAAAATACAGCCAAAACTATTCAAAATAACAAAATTTTATAAATCCTGGTATGCTGAAATAAAAATCCATTCTAGGCCAAAAAATATTGGACCAGAAAATGAAAGGTCACTTCAAACCCATGCCAGGCCTAAAATTTCGATATCAACAAGGCTATAGGATATGTAAACCAAATTTTAATTATTTTATATGCCTATTATTTGTTCTTTCTCTTTTTTTTTCTCCCTATTTCTTTCTCTTTTTATTTATTTCACTTTTTTCATTTTTCTTTTAAATCAGAATTTAACACAAATATTAAATCAATAAATTTTTAAAAAAGAGAAAAAAATATACATAAATTAAGGGCTAACAGTAATATAGGTTAATTTTAAAGGTCGCCTTTAGAGTTCAGATGAAAAAAAATCAAAGGAAAAATTTATAAGTAAATATTAACCACCCAAAAAACAGATACTAGTATACTCTTATTTATTTTTTATCAAAAGTATGAAATCCAATTTATATATTTCTGGTCATCCAAAAATGTGGGGGATAATTTTAGGGAAGAAGTAACCAGATGAACCCAACAAAATCTTTGCCGAGAAAATGATGCATATCATTATTAAAAAATCAATAAAATCTAGGGTTGTGCCGATATTAAATATCGGATCAGATCGGCACCAATATTTAGCGTTTTCCATAAATATCGGATCGGGCCAATGCCTGCAAAAACCGATCCGATCTTATTGCTTTTCTTTTTTTTTGTTATTTTATGTTATGTATATTTAAATTATAATTTTTTTTTATCTATTATAATATAATTTTTTTTTAATTGTAGAAATAAAAAAAATTAGCATAATTCGATTTTTTGCATAAAAAATATTAATTTCTTAATTACAATTGGTTCAAATGGGGGAGGGGTGAAAATTAGTATAAATATAGTATCGGTTTTGAACCAATATCGGATAGGTGAAAAAGATGTGGATCGGCAAAGCCCTAATAAATCTGAGTTGATTTTATAAAGCTTTACACAATATTATAATATCAATTTCAAGTGCTAATCATAAGTTGTATAATATGGAACAATATACCTTGTGTGTAAGCCCAAACAAAGATATCAGCAAGTGTTAAGTTATCGCCTACCAAAAATTTAATTTTGATTGAATTTGATCGTGTTAATGTTGTATTTATTTTGTCAATTACTCTATATAATTTTGCTTTGGGTAAATTAGGATACTTATATACTGCCTTTACAGTCCAATTATCTATCTAGAAATTAATAAATATTTTTTATAATGATGCTAATGAAAAAATTAAGTATAAGTTAATTGATCTCAAGAATAAATGAATTGGCAATATGCATAACTATTCAAATTATGCAAGTAAAAAAAGCAGATTAAAGTTTGTTTATATTGTAAAACCAAATAAACCTCGGTTAATTGTAAGGGATTCCCTTCATAAAGTTTGAGGTAAGGAAAAACACGAGCTAGATGTCTTGCTATTATAACATCATCTTTTAAATTTATTTCACTATAAACATTATTAAAAAGAGAAAATTTGTTAAATCAGAATTATATCAATAATTAAAAATGAAGATAGCAATAGAGTATAGAAATTTAGATCAAAATTTATTTGGAAAATTTTTCCCAATAAACTTATTGATATACCAAACATCATCAATTTTTTTAATTTATGATTGTGTTGGTTACAGTTACACAACTAAGAAAGCATTTTATAATATGATAAAATTCTTATATCATTTTTATATTACAATTTACTATAAAAAATAATCTTTTTATGAAGATTTATATTTTCCCTAAAATGAAGATTTTTATTCATTCATTTTTGATATTTATATTTTATCAAGAAGATTATTCATTAATAACTTAGTAAAATTTTAATCCAAACTTTTTTTTGGCAATATATATTATTTAGATGAAAACACAAATCATTGGCTGAGGATAATTGTCAGGGGCGGACTGGCCATAAGACTGGGAAATTTGACCATGAGGCCACAGATCAAGAAAAAAAAATAAACAATAGGTGGATCAGAAAAAAATACATATTATTTTTATTTGTTATGACTTTTCTCTTGTATAATTAATATATATATTTATATATTAACATTATTTATAATTATATTTTCTTTTCTAGTTAGAATATAATATCAATCATTACTATAGGATTATCATTTAGATATTGCTTTATTTATGGTTCATTTTTTCAAGGAGAACATTTCCCTTTATATTAAAGTCACTTTTTAATTAATTTACATTTTTATACATTATTTTATAACATTATAGAAATAATATTCAATTAGCTTTAAAATATTAAATGAAAATTTTGACAGATTCGCAATAATATCGATGTGCAAAGGTATTTTGGATAATAAAGTTTTTAGATAAAAATTTATCTTACCAAACAATCAGACCATAATGAAATAATTGGAAATCTTAATAATGAAATCATGGGAATTTTCTTGAGATGATACAAATATTTTGAATAAAGTCATTAAAGCTGTTCTAGGTATAGAAATATAATATTTTTAAAAAAGAGATAAGTGGCAAAAGAGTAGGTTGAGAGTTGAAAATACATTAGCTAAATCAAATTGTTCTATCCTTCTAAATAATTTTTTGGCCAAAGTAAGCAGCAAAGGCTCCAATAGATGGTTATGGGGAAAAAAGCTTACTCACAATCATTACACGTACGTACACTGTGTGTACGAGTTTGAGGCAAACCTCATCATTTCTTTGAATGAGGATCTATCTATTTTCAACTTAAAATAAATTTTTGAAATAATGCAGCAGCTCTCATTATAACATTTTATCAGCTTGGAAAAGGATTGATGATACCATTCTGTATCTTCTATCCCATCCATTCAGATAAAAGCTAAAAACATGGCTATAAATATAAATGAAAAGATTTCTGATTTAAAGTTTCCAGATAGCATCAGGTACAAAATGAACTGCCAAAAAATAGAATAAGGAGGATGTACAGTGATGAATGCCCGAAGTTCCGATTGATCTCTATACTAGTGTTGTTAAATGGCCTGATTTTTGAAACTGCCTGATTAAGATATTAGCCAAAATATTGGAAACCTCAAAATTTGGTATATAGAGGTCCAGCCTTTCTGCCACCTATGTACGAAATCGCCAGCCTTATGTAATATTATCTTTGCTAAAATCTTAATAAGGCCATTTTTAAAAATCAACCCCAAATAGGGTCATTTAGCAACATTACTCTATACTTTTGAAGTACTTCCTCCTATAATTGATCAATAAATAGTTTGACCAAACTCTTCATATAAATAAAGAGCTTATAACAAATGTGCAATATTTGTATCTGAAGCATATTGATGAAATATATCAAAGGCATTTGTAAAAACTAGTAAAAAGTTTGAAAATTGGAAAAAGTATTTGTGACAAATTACGACATGAATTGTCTAGATTTCTCTCTATTTATAAGGATTTAATAATTGGGAGTAGTGTTGCATAATCGGCTAAAAACTACGCCTAAGCCTAATAAGGCTAAGCCTAAAAATCGGCTAAGCCTAAATCGGCTAAGCCTAAATCGGCTAAGCCTAATTAGGTAAGCCTAAAAATCGGCTAAGCCTATATAAATCTGCTAAAATTAGTCAAAATTCTGCATCTATGCTTAGTATTAATTATTATTTATTCATTTTAGTAAAATAATTTATTTTATTTATATTTAATGTAAATATTTTATTATTATCAACAAATAAACATGATATGATTTAATATTTTTTATTTATATTATTATATTTTCAAATGAAAATAAATTTATTTATTTGATGTTATTTTAATAAAAAAAATAATATGCTGCTATATTGTAAAATTGTAATATTCTTTTTAATATAATTTATTAGTGATTTTCACAATCTTCTTTATAAATACATCTTTTATTGAGGAATTATATTGTAAATTTTATTAGATAAATAAACAATCTTTTAGGTGAAATCTTTTATAATTTTTTTATCATTTTTTTTAAATTATCTTTTTTATTAAATGAGGTGGATTTTATGAAACTTTTTTGATGATTTTATATGATCTTTTTAAGGATAATATTTTAATGTGACAATTGTCATAATCGTTATTTTATAAGTTTTTTGAATTTTTTTGAAGAAAATAGGTTAAAATAAGTATTAATAACATGTGTAAATATAAATTTAGTGAAGATGTACCAAAGAAAAGTGACAATTGTCATAATCGTTATTTTTAAAGTTTTTTTTAATTTTTTTGACGACAATATGTTAAAATAAGTATTAATAACATGTTTAAATAAAAATTTAGTGAAGATGTACCATAGAAAATTGACAATTGTCATAATCGTTATTTTTAAAGTTTTTTGAAATTTTTTGAAGAAAATATGTTAAAATAAGTATTAAAAACATGTTTAAATAAAAATTTAGTGAAGATGTACCATAGAAAAGTGACAATTGTCATAATCGTTATTTTATACGTTTTTTGAATTTTTTGAAGAAAATAGGTTAAAATAAGTATTAATAACATGTGTAAATATAAATTTAGTGAAGATGTACCAATGAAAAGTGACATTTGTCATAATCGTTATTTTATAAGTTTTTTGAATTTTTTGAAGAAAATAGGTTAAAATAAGTATTAATAACATGTGTAAATATAAATTTAGTGAAGATGTACCAATGAAAAGTGACATTTGTCATAATCGTTATTTTTAAAGTTTTTTGAAGAAAATATGTTAAAATAAGTAGTAAAAACATGTTTAAATAAAAACTTAGTGAAGATGTACCATAGAAAAGTGACAATTATCATAATCGTTATTTTATAAGTTTTTGGAATTTTTTTGAAGAAAATATGTTAAAATAAGTATTAAAAACATGTTTAAATAAAAATTTAGTGAAGATGTACCATAGAAAAGTGACAATTGTCATAATCGTTATTTTATAAGTTTTTTGAATTTTTTTGAAGAAAATATGTTAAAATAAGTATTGATAACATGTTTAAATATTAGTGAAGATGTACCATAGAAAATTGACATTGTCATAATGGTTATTTTTAAAGTTTTTTGAATTTTTTTGACGAAAATATGTTAAAATAAGTATTAATAACATGTGTAAATATAAATTTAGTGAAGACAATGAAAAGTGACAATTGTCATATTCGTTATTTTTTAAATTTTTTTGACGAAAATATGTTAAAATAAGTATTAATAACATGTGTAAATATAAATTTAGTGAAGATGTACCAATGAAAAGTGACAATTGTCATAATCGTTATTCTTAAAGTTTTTTGAATTTTTTTGACGAAAATATTTTAAAATATGTATATATAACATGTTTAAATAAAAATTTATTGAAGATGTACTCTAGATAAGCGACAATTGTCATAATCATTATTTTTCAAGTTTTTTGATTTTTGTTGACGAAAATATGTTAAAATGAGTAATAATAACATGTTTAAATAAAAATTTAGTGAAGATGTACTATAGAAAAGTGACAATTGTCATAATCGTTATTTTTAAAATTTCTTTGATGTAAATGGGTAAAAATATAGATTGTAAAATTAAAATTGCCTGAGTATATGCCATAGAAAAACATATGGTAATAATAGATTCTTCCCCAAAAACAGGAGCAAATTGGCATTTTATTACATTTGTTCATCGGGTCAGAAATTAATATGCAAAATTTATATCATAATATCTAATCCTAAGTTAGAAATTATTATTTTTTTACCAATTTTCACCAGACAATCTTGTTTAAAATTTGGATAAACTTTTTTTTCTATTTTAAAATCAATATCGATGCAAGTTAACTATTTTCGTCAAAAAAAATCAAAAAACTTTAAAAATAACGATTATGACAATTGTCGCTTATCTAGAGTACATCTTCACTAAATTTTATTTAAACATGTTATCAATACTTATTTAAAATATCTTTGTCAATAAAATTCAAAAAACTTTAAAAATAACGATTATGACAATTGTCACTTTTCATTGGTACATCTTCACTAAATTTATATTTACACATGTTATTAATACTTATTTTAACATATTTTCGTCAAAAAAATTCAAAAAATTAAAAATAATGATTATGACAATTGTCACTTTTCTATGGCACACCTTCACTAAATTTTAATTAAACATGTTTTTAATATTTATTTTAACATATTTTCTTCAAAAAAATTCAAAAAACTTTAAAAATAACAATTATGACAAATGTCACTTTTCATTGGTACTTCTTCACTAAATTTATATTTACACATGTTATTAATACTTATTTTAACATATTTTCGTCAAAAAAATTCAAAAAACTTTAAAATTAACGATTATGACAAATGTCACTTTTCATATGGTACATCTTCACTAAATTTATATTTACACATGTTATTAATACTTATTTTAACAAATTTTCGTCAAAAAAATTCAAAAAACTTTAAAATTAACCATTATGACAATTGTCACTTTTCATATGGTACATCTTCACTAAATTTATATTTACACATGTTATTAATTCTTATTTTAACATATTTTCTTCAAAAAAATTCAAAAAACTTTAAAATTAACGATTATGACAAATGTCACTTTTCATATGGTACATCTTCACTAAATTTATATTTACACATGTTATTAATACTTATTTTAACATATTTTCGTCAAAAAAATTCAAAAAACTTTAAAAATAGCGATTATGACAATTGTCAGTATTTCTATTGGTACATCTTCACTAAATTTATATTTACACATGTTATTAATACTTATTTTAACATATTTTCGTCAAAAAAATTCAAAAAACTTTAAAAATAGCGATTATGACAATTGTCACTTTTCTATTGGTACATCTTCACTAAATTTATATTTACACATGTTATTAATACTTATTTTAACATATTTTCGTCAAAAAAATTCAAAAAACTTTAAAAATAGCGATTATGACAATTGTCACTTTTCTATTGGTACATCTTCACTAAATTTATATTTACACATGTTATTAATACTTATTTTAACATATTTTCGTCAAAAAAATTCAAAAAACTTTAAAATTAACCGATTATGACAATTGTCACTTTTCATTGGTACATCTTCACTAAATTTATATTTACACATGTTATTAATACTTATTTTAACATATTTTCGTCAAAAAAATTCAAAAACTTTAAAATTAGCGATTATGACAATTGTCACTTTTCATTGGTACATCTTCACTAAATTTATATTTACACATGTTATTAATACTTATTTTAACATATTTTCGTCAAAAAAATTCAAAAAACTTTAAAAATAGCGATTATGACAATTGTCAGTTTTCTATGGTACATCTTCACTAAATTTATATTTACACATGTTATTAATACTTATTTTAACAAATTTTCGTCAAAAAAATTCAAAAAACTTTAAAATTAACGATTATGACAATTGTCACTTTTCATATGGTACATCTTCACTAAATTTATATTTACACATGTTATTAATTCTTATTTTAACATATTTTCGTCAAAAAAATTCGAAAAACTTTAAAAATAACGATTATGACAATTGTCACTTTTCATTGGTACATCTTCACTAAATTTGTATTTACACATGTTATTAATACTTATTTTAACATACTTCCTTCAAAAAAATTCAAAAAACTTATAAAAGAACGATTATGACAATTTGTCACATTAAAATATTATCCTTAAAAAGATCATATAAAATAACATCAAAAAAGTTTCATAAAATCCACCTTATTTAATAATAAATAGATAATTTAAAAAAAATGATAAAAGATTTCACCTAAAAGATTGTTTATTTATCTAATAAAATTTACAATATAATTCCTCAATAAAAGATGTATTTACAAAGAAGATTGTGAAAATCACTAATAAATTATATTATAAAGAATATTACATTTTTACAATATAGCAGCATATTATTTTTTTTATTAAAAAAACATCAAATAAATAAATTTATTTTCATTTCAAAATATAATAATATAAATAAAAAATATTAAATCATATCATGTTTATTTGTTGATAATAATAAAATATTTACATTAAATATAAATAAAATAAATTATTTTACTAAAATAAATAAATAATAATTAATGTTAAGCATCGATGCAGAATTTTGACTAATTTATTTTAGCCAATTTTTAGGCTTAGCCCATTTTTAGGCTTAGCCAATTTTTAGGTTTAGCCGATTTTTAGGCTTAGCCTAATTAGGTTTAGCCGATTTTTGGGCTTAGCCTAATTAGGCATAGCCGATTATTAGGCTATACCTAATTAGGCTTAGCCGATTTTTCCACCTAAAATCTCGGCTAGCCGTTTTTAGTTGGCTAAAATTAGCCGATTACGCAACACTAATTGGGAGTGAAAATACTGATGATATAATTTGTGCTAGTAACGAGTCTAATAAAAAAAATAAAATAATACAAGATAGCAGAGTTGTTAAAAGATACTTTTTAAATGGATCTAGATATAGATACAGATACATCATCTAAAAAGTTATCTAGATCCAGATATTGTCTAAAAAGTTATCTTAATATATATACATTTTTTAAATACTCTTATATAAGCTTTGCATAAACCTAAATTAGGATTCTATTGTGAGAATGTATAAAATGAGCTTAAAACCTTATTAAATAGTATCAAAATATAAGTAAAATAATGATTTTTAGATTTTAATATAATAATATAATATTGCCGGGATATGAAAATATATGATTAAATGATTATAAATAATTATTAGATTTCAGTAATAAAATATTTTTAAAATTTTGGTCAATAAGGCATCCTCGTTTATCTTTAAAGACATTTTTAGCTATATTAAAAAGTCTTTCTACCAGAGTGCTTGAAGGGATTGTGTTGTTATATTTTAATAACAATTTTATATCAGAATATTCTTTAAAAATAAAATTACAACATTGATTTTCGAAAAAATTATTTAAAATTTGTTGACTGCTGTGGAGTACTGAAAAAAATCGGATATTAAATTATTTGTTTTTTCACAGGTTATTTGTTTGCAATCAGTTGAAGACCTTAATAATTCATCAACTATTCTTTGTATTAATAATTTTTTTATTAACAGTGTCTGATTTTTTCTCTTAAAATTTAAAATTGCAATTGTAAACATTAATTTAGTATCTAAACTCTTAAATGTTTTAGTTGCAAGTTGAGGTAATGGTAACTAAAATTTTGGTGTTCTTTTGTGGATATGGCAAACATCCTACTAGCAGAGATCTGTTTTCTTTATAGATACAGATACCACATTTTTATATCTAGATACTGTATCTAGATACTTTAACAAAAGATAGTAATAATACTATTATCAATACTTAATGTGTCCATAAGATTTTTCAATGCTATCAACCTAGGTGGAGCCTATTAGTTGAAAAAGTTAACAGTTAGCTGTTACCTAAATTCAAAAAAGAAATATAATGGTAGTTGCTGCTTTTACTTAAAAAAAATAGGTTAACAGTTATTTCATATTATATTATATGGAAGAAATGACTGTTTAGTAAATTAAAAATTATAAAAATTAGGCTGAAGGCAAGAAACATGATAAATTAGATACATTCTTATTGGTATACATTAAAAAAGAATTGTTGACAAAATTGAAATAAAATAAATTTTGTTTATTTAAATCAAAGTTCAAAGTTAACACCAGAGTTATTAGCTTAAAAATTATATAATATTTGTTTAATTCATTTATTTAAATTCAATTTTGTGAAACTTTTGCTATATGCAACTCTGGGCATAAAATAATTTTTTATATGTAATTAATATGGTTTCTTATGTCGAATATATACTGTTTCAATGCACAATAGAGACTACGTGTTTATATCTGGAATTCATATGATTTTAAATATGGAATTTTTGTTAATATGTTATTAATGTGTCATAATAGTGTTTTTCTTAATAAACCACAAATATAGTATTTAACCAATCATTTTAGATTTATTTCAAAATATAAGAAACCTTTAATATGGAATACTCACTAAAGGGAACCTGGCTGTTGGCCAATTAGAAGTGTGTCAAAGGTGTGTAAAGTAACAAATATGGGGGTATAGCCCCACATAAAAATGAGGTCACTAGATACAATGCCCATAAGACCTCAACATCACCACTATGTCCCTGATTATAGTGCTCCATATCCATTTTTTATATCTTTTTATGAGTTTTTTTTTAAATTTACTTGTATTTTTATTATGGAAAGGCATTCTAGCATATATTTTTTAAATTATGGATAGAGCTTAAGGTAAGCATCATTATGGATCTAACTAATATAATTTTGCTAAAAAACATATTTTTATATTTTTTAAAAAAGCGGAGATAGAACAATATGTTAAATTTAACTATAAAAATTAAAGTAGATATAAAATCATAATTTGTGAAATATATTGTATTATATAAGATTTTAAAATTATTTTTATTTTTTTTTACAGATTTGGGAAAATATTTTAGCATTGCTATGAGATCTAACTTTTTTTATGGAGATTTTGTTAGATTATTAGTTAAATTTTGAGAAGAAGCTGCCTATATTAATACAACTTGATTTTAGAATTCAGATTTGAATATTTTAATGATATGAAACATAATATTAGATTTTTAAAATTGTACATAAAAATAATTCTTGACTATTTTTTGATCTATTTATTGTTGATGTATAAAAATTCAACACTGAATTTATTGGAAAATATGTATTTTACTAAAAGTGGATATAGAACACTATAATCTCTAGGCATTAAAAGTCAATAAAATATATTTATAATTTCATATAATATATAATATATATAAGTAAGATTTTTATTAAAAAAGATTAAAAGCTTTGAAAAAGAATTTATTTTCCTTATATGGGAGTAAACATGGATTGTTTTTTAAAAATCATTAACTGATTTTAGAAATTTAATTGTAATTAAAATAGATATAAAAGAAATAATAATTATATAATTTAATCTATACAAAGTATTAAAGAAAAGTTGTATAAGAAAAATATACTTGGCTAGAAATGATGTTTCATTCCCATATTTTATTCTTACATTATTTCGACTATTTAACTGATCCAGTATTAAAAGAGTCCCTTAATTAGACTATAATAATCTATTTTTAGATAATAAATACCGTAAGGTAAATTATCTTTATTAATTGTAATTTCTATATCATTCGAATTATTTTTTAAAAGGATAACCATATTTTGAAAATTGGGAATGCAAAATGTAGAATATAAAAAGATCGTATATTTATTTTACTCAAATCGGAAAAATTTTAAAATTAAAGCATATACATATACATATTTATTTATTTTATTAAAATATCTATACTCTGCAATATTTGTATAAATTGCAATTATCAATTTTCTGATCTATAACGTTTTAATAAATTTAGATTTTATACATGATCATATATAGCATTCAGGTTTCCTAACAAGTCTAAAAAATGTATAATACCATGAATCCATACAAAATAGTAATTATCTCATCATTGATATGCCATTTCATATTTTATAAATACATATTTTGATAGGTTTTGATAATACAGCCTATAAAAACATAGTGGAAAATAAGTAAACTGAATGGACAATATTTTAAACCAATAATATAATCTAAAATTATTAATGTTCTGACCTTTTAATAAATTTATATTTATACATGATCAGATGCAGCATCATGTTTTTCCAACATGTCTTAAAATGTTTATGACACCAAATATCCAAATAAAATAGTTATGTCATCATAAATGTGTTATTTCATATTATATAAATACATATTTAGAAAGAATTTAATGTTATGGCTCATAGAAACTCAATAGAAAATATGTTAAAATAAAAACATACTAGCAAAACCCTCTCTCCAGATCATTCTATTTTTCTTTAATTCTCCTATCCTTTTTTTCTTTTTTTCTTTCCCTTTTGCTTTTAATTTTTCTTTCGCTTTTCCTTATTCTTTTACCTTTCTCTTTTCCATTACCTATTTCTTTTCCAACAAACTTTTCTTTTCTCTTCGCTTTTCCCCTTTTCTTTATCTTTACCATCTTCTTCTTTTTCCTTACTTTTTTCCTGCCATTACCCCTTTTCTGTCCTTCTTCATTTCCTTTCGCTTTTCTCATTTCTTTCCATTTTTCCCATTTCTTTCCTTTTCCATTTTCTTTTTTTTCGCTTTTCTTTTCCTGCCCTTTTCTATCTGTTCTCCTTTCGCTTTTCCCTTTTCTTTCACTTTTCTCTCCATTTCACCTTTTATTACACTTTCCTCTACTTTTTCTTTCCCTTCTCATTTTTCCTTTCCTTTATCTTTCGTTTTTATTTTTCTTTCTCTTTTTCATTATATTCTCCTTTCCAGTTGTTTCCCTTCTGATACCTTGTTCTTTTTCCGTTTTCCCTTTTCTCCACCCTGCCCCCCCCTCTTTTTTTTAACGTTTTTAATTTTCTTTACCTTCCTTTCTCATTTTCATTTCTTACTAATTTCCATTTCCCCCTTTTCTTTCCCTGTTCTTTTCCCTTCCTTTTATCTTTCCCCTTACCTTTTTCTTTTCATTTTTCTTTCCTTTATCTTTTCCTTTTGGGTTCTCTTTAACATTTCCCCTTTTATTTTTCTTAATTCTTTCTTTCTCTTTTTCTTTCCTTATTCTTTTTTCCCCATTTCCTTACCCGTTTTCTTTACTTCCTCCTCACCCTTTTTCTTTTCTTTCCTTTACTCTTTTATTTCCCTCCTTCTTTACATTTCCCTTTTTTACCTTTCTTTAACGTTACCTTTTATTTCCCTTCTCCTTCACCCTTCCTCCTCCCTTTTTTTCCTTTTTATTCCTTCTATTTTACTTTCTCTTTTCCTTTTTCTTTCTATTTTTTTCTTTTATTTCTCTTTACCATCTCGTTTATTTTCCTATTGCCCTCTTTTTCCTTTTTTCTATCCCTTTCCTCATATCTCTCCATTTACCTTTACCTTTTCCTTTTCTTATTATTTGTCTTTTCCTTACCCTTTTTCCAATCTTTTCTTTTCGATTTTCAATTTTCTTTCCATTTCCCTTTCTCCTCTCCTCTTCTTCCTTATTTCTTTATCTTTATCTTTTCCTTTTTTTTTCCTTTTTTTTTTTTTTTTTCTTTTGCTTTTTATTTTTTTCTTTTCTTACCCATTCCATTCACTTTTTTTATATTTCCTTTTTCTTTACATTATTTTTTGTTGTTGAAGTATTCAAATATAGATTTAATATAAAACATTTTATCTTAATTTATATAATTCTGACTTTTATCAGGGGTGTCGTTAGCATTTATAATTTCAGGGGACTCAACTAAAAAAAAATTTATATTATAATTATTCATATCTATTTCTTTTTAAATTTTTATATTATTACCTTTTTCATTTACTAATTTACTTTATCAATTAATTTCGTTTACAAGTTTTCCTTGTGGCGTAATATTTATCTATTATTTTTAAATTTCCCGGTATTATAATTTTTAAATTTTTAGTCATGGATATAGACTTTTTTTTAAAAAACGCTTAAGGTGAAAATCATGCCAAAAAGCAAAAAAGTATAGTATGATAATTTAATAAACAAAAGCAGTGAACTGATGATTTCCTCAAAAGAATCAATTCAAAAGGGGGATATGATTCCCATTTCATCAATAATTGATAAAAATAGGGTTAAAATTGCAAAAGAAAATAGAGGCAAGATAAAACTAACTATTGAGGCTATTTTATATTGTGGCTTGCAAGGCCTAGCACTTTGTGGCCACAAGGATTCAAGAAGCTTAAATTTTAATAATAATGATAACGAAGGTAATTTCCGCGGACTTTTAAAATTTAAAGCATTAGGAGATCCTGTATTAATGGAGAGCCTCATTAGTACCAATAAAAATGCTACTTATCTCAGCCCTAGGATATAAAATGAGATAATTGATATTTGCAACAATATCATTTTAGAAAATCAATTCTGCCCCATGTTTCTCAATTTTGGCAGATGATACCACGGACATTGCTGGCATTGAGCAGATGTCGTTGTGTGCGCGATATGTAGATACTCATAAAAACATTATCAAGGAAATGTTTCTCCAATTTATTCCTGTTTCAAGCATGACTGGGACTGCTTTAGTCTGCTTTAGCTGACGTAATAATTGTAAATCTTAAAAAATTAAAAGTAATAATTAATCGTATTATATAATTATTTTAAAAAATATAGCTAAATATAAATATGATACGTGGGCAAGGGTATGATGGAGCACGTGCAATGAGTGGACAATTCAATGGGCTACAGGCATTTATTAAAAAAAATGCCCAACAGCTATATATGTCCACTGTGCTGCCCATTCACTCAACTTAGCAATATCGGATTCATGTTCTTTACCATTGATATCAAATTGCTTAGGTTTTTAATTATTAAATTAAATTTATCTAGCATCTATGAGATGTTTAGATACCCCAAACGTCAAAATATTTTGAACAGAATTATATCTGAAACTCCTTGCCCAATAAGGAGAAAAAAATTGCAAAAAGCTTGTCCAACAAGATGGAGTCTTCGACATCAAGCTGTAACAGCTTTTATCGAGTTAGAAGAGCCGATTATTAATGCTCTTATAGAAATATCACAATGTCTGAATAAGATATTTCTTCAGAAGCAAGCAAGCAAGTTACTGGATTCAATACTTATACCAAATTTTTTTTTCGCATTAGAATGTATTAATAAATTATTTAATTATACAACTATTTTATGTAATACTTTTCAAAAACCTGATATTGATTTGATTGAGATGACAGAGACAATTTTATTAGAACTCAATGAAATTAGAGCTAATGCTGATGAGGTTTCGTATTTTATATGTTAATATTGAATCAAAAGCAGAGCTATACGAGTTCAATATTCTCCCTCGACTTACAGTAAGGCAAACTTATCGTCCAAATATTAATATAGGGTCAATAGAAGAATATTATAAAATAAATGTCTTTATACCTCTTTTGGATACATTTATAACCCAAGTAAATTAAAGGTTTTTAATTTATCAAGAAACACTTATCAATCTGCAGATATTACTTCCGCAAAAGCCCTCTGAACCTTTTTCAGATGGTGATAGAAAAAAAATAAAATATTTGGAAGATTTTTATCATGTAAACATTAATGTATCTCATGATGCTTTATTAGCTGAATGCCAATTATGGTATAAAAGATTAACTATGGTTGATATAGTCCCAAAAAATGCTATGATGCTTTGCATCATTTCAAACATCTTTTAGATTATTTTCCCAATATATTGAAATTATTATATCTATTAGCAACTCTTCCCATTATTACTGCAACTAATGAGAAAACATTCTCTTCTTTAAGAAGATTAAAAACGTACCTAAGAAGTACAACTTCTGAAAGTAGGTTGAATGGTCTGGCCCTTTTAAATATTCATAGGCATTTGACGCCAAACACGGATGAGATAATTGAAAAATTAGCTCCCTCCCAACGAAGATTGGATTTTACATTATAAAAATATAATGTTTCTATAATATTTTTTGTGCTATCATTTTTTAATGTCTTATATATTTTTCTTTTACATAAAAATTATAATTATTCATATTTCCAAATTTTTTATACTTTATATATAAATTTTAAAAGCTCAAAAAAATTTAAATTTCTATTATGGATTATTTATTTTATCATCATATCCTGATTATATCCACTTAATATTTTATAATTCAGATTTATTTAAAGTATTTATATGCCGCCGGTTATATTCGTTTAATATTTTTTAAATCAAATTTATTTTTATATAACGGTTTATATATTTAATTTTTTATAATTCATATTAATTTAAATTTGTACATTAGAAATAGTTATTAATCCTAATAAATTTATGCTTGATATTTTTAAATAACAATAATTTTATTTTAAAAAATTTTAATTATCCCCCCCCCCCCACACCAAATTCCTGCGTACGCTACTGAGGTTAGGTTATGTCTAATTAATAATAGTCAATTAAGCTTTAACTGTTAAAGCTAAATTAATATTTATTGAGTGACACAGAATTTGATTGCAAGCTGACATAGTTAAAATAAAATTTATGTATATTAATCTAATCTAATAATTAAAATTATATTCATTTAATAAAAATTTAGACAGTCTTATTAATTTTTAAATAATAAAATTAAATCTATATATTACTTAATAGAATATAAATCGTTCAAAGGTCAAAAAAAAAATTTATATTTAATCCAAGGAGTTAAGATTCCATTAGAAAAATTTTTTTTTTGC